ACTGAATAATTGTTAAGTGAATCACTGAATAATTGTTAAGTGAATCAGTGAATAATTGTTAAGTGAATCAGTGAATAATTGTTAAGTGAATCACTGAATAATTGTTAAGTGAATCACTGAATAATTGTTAAGTGAATTGTGAATAATTGTTAAGTGAATCACTGAATAATTGTTAAGTAAATTGTGAATAATGGCTAAGTGAATTGTTAAGTTAGTAATGGGGTAGTAATGTAAGCGAATCTGGCTTCCCCATTGATTTTGCTTGTCAAAAGTTTGCAAAAGGGAATTCCGTGACCTCGGGACATAGCAACGGTCGTAAGTATGAACCAGCTGCCAAGCACCTGAATTCGGAACACACGATCACGGGGATGCTACAAAGGTCGTAAGTGTGAAAAATGGTCATCATTTTTTTCCCCAGTTCAAATAGTTACTAAATGAACTAAGTGGTACGTCAAGGACTACCTGTAACCCAACCTTGAGAGCCACGCAGTGCTTCCCCTCTCTCTCTTATTCTAAAAATTTCTCAATCCTGCTTGTTTTAATGTATGTGGATAAGGCTTTATAGCAGGGGACTCCAACCTTCTGGACCTCAGGGACTACCAAACTCATAATTTTAAATTCCGCAGACCACTAATATGAATCCAGCATGCCGCTCGCTGAAGCGCCTGGACTCCCACTGATGGGATGGGGTCCTTCAGGCACTTAGCTTGGCTGCCTGTTTCTGCAGCCTTAAATACTCAAAGAGTCATTTGGACCTGTTTCCCACAGAAAGCAAAACACAGGGATCTCTCATCTCTTTCCCTCCCTCCCTCTCTCTTTTTCTTCCTTTCTCCCTCTTTCTCTCCCTCCCTCCCTCTCTCTCTGTCTTCTCTCTCTCTCTCTCTCTCTGTCCCTGAGGATGGGGAGGCGGAGGAAGGAACCTCTAAACTAGTCCTGGGTGGTGGGAATCTGAGGTCCAGAGGCCGACCAGCCACGTGCTGAAGACCAGATGGCTGGCCGGGGAGGTGCGGCAATCCTGAAATCTCCCTAGCAAACCCGTCTCGTGGCTGCTGCCTCCTGCCTCCGCGCATCGAGAAGGCTGAGCAGCACCGGAGGTCCCGAGCCGCAGGAAGCGGCTGCCAGCAATGCCCCCAGGTGAAGATGTTGCAAGGCGGGGAGGGCTCGACCCCTCGCTTCAGGAGCCACAAAGCGCTCAGCGCCCCTCTGGCCCCCGCCAAGCCTGCTCCTTCCCACTTGGGGGCGTGAGCGCTTCTGGCGAGGAGGAAGCGAAGCATGGTGGGAAGGGGCTTGGCGGCTGCCAGAGGGCCGGCGGGGGCTTTGCAGCTCCTGAGGGGACGGGCGCAGGAGATCGCGCCCTCCCCTTGCAGGCCAGGGAACACCCGGGAAGGGCTCTGATGCCACGACCTCCCGCGCGCTACCCTCCCTCCCCACCCGCGTCAGTCCATCTGCCACCAGCATCACCCCTGTTGCAGACAAGGGTGCGTTGCGGAACCACCAAAATTTTCTCACGGACCACCAGTGGACCACATACCCCTGGTTGGCAACCTCTGTTTTATAACACACTCTGGGAGGTTTACACCGCGTAAGCATGTCCCCAAAGTGCTTTTTTCAAGAGGCCGCTGGACTTTCTGGTTTTTTTTCTTTGAAGACGTTTCGCTTCTCATCCAAGAAGCTTCCTCAGCTCTTCTTCAGAAAAGAAGAACATGGGAGGAGAGGTTAAGATTCATGCTGCCATGAGGCCCTGGGAGAAAAAAATAGGAAATAAATCTAAATGATAATAAGTTATACAGGTAGTCCTCGACTACCTGTAGTTCCAAGCTACAACAGCACTGAAAAAAAGGACTTCAATCCCCTTAATACTGGTCTCTCGTTGGCTCTTTTCAATTTTGTTTCCGTTCTGTTACTAATCTGTGTTGTGTCACGATTCCTAAAATAAACAAAGCTTTATAACGTCTTTCAGGATAAACTTTTGGGTCCTCTCATGGGTATCTATCCTGGCAAGCGATCTGAGTTTGTTTATTTATTTAATTTATTTTTGTCAACTGCTTACAAGATAATAGGTATAAGTAAAAACATAGTTATGAATACATGGATACATATAAGAAAAAAATAATAAAAGAAATAAAAGAAAGAATAGGACAGGGACGGTAGGCACGTTGGCGCGCTTATACAAGCCCCCTACAGACCTCTTAGGAAAGGGGTGAGGTCAATAGTAGACAGTCTAAGGTTAAAGTTTTGGGGGTTTGGGGAAAAAAACCACAGTCAGGTAGAGTATTCCAGACATTGACCACTCTGTTGCTGAAGTCATATTTCCTGCAATCAAGTTTGGTGCGATTAACCTTGAGTTTGTATCTACTGTTCGCTCTTGTGTTGTTATGGTTGAAGCTGAAGTATTCATTGACAGGTAGGACATTGCAATGTATGATTTTATATGCTATACTTAGATCGGACTGAAGGCGGCGTAGTTCTAGGTTTTCTAGGTCTAGAATTTTGAGTCTGGTGGCATAAGATATTCTGCAACGAGTAGAGGAGTGGAGAACTCTTCTTGTGAAATAGTTCTGGACTTTCTCAACTCTGTTAGTATCAGATATGTAATGTGGGTTCCAGACTGATGAGCTGTATTCAAGTATTGGTCTAGCAAATGATCTAGTTATTAGCATAATATTATCAGAGAAAAAGCTATGTAAGATTAGGTTAACAACTCTTAGCGCCTTTTTGGCTATGTAGTTACAGTGGGCTCTAGCACTTAGGTCATTAAGAGTTGTGTGTGCTAGTCTAACACATTTATCTTACCTTCTGAATTGCCGCTATCCTCCTCTTCTTGCTTGATCTTCCTCTCTGCGGGAATTAACGGAGTCTGCTCAGAGGTGAGAAAACTCACTGCCACCTCCTGGATCAGCCCTGGCCCCTGCAACAGTCCAAAATCTGACTTAGCAACACAAACAGCTCACTGATTTACAACCTTTCATTCAGCAACAGTTCAAAATTAGTCACTTTTTTCAGTGCCGTTGTAACTTTGAATGGTCCCTCCACAGAAGCAAAGTACCAGCAAAGGAGGGGGAAAAAAAACTCCAGAGACGTTCCTGAGACAGGAAGTCTCGTCCTGCCAAGAATGTAATAAGGGTTAGCGGAGAGGCAATTTCTGTAAGCAACACCAGAATGTTTCCTTCCTATCTTCCTTACAGGATTAGGCCAGTAATTTCTTCTAACAACCGGTTCTCTGAACTGCTTGCAATGTTAACAACTGGTTCTTGGGAGTGGGTGCGAATTGGTAGAATCCCACCCCTGCCACTTCCTGCCATCATTCTTCATTGTTTTAGCCTCCAGTCCAGTTAGGACAGTGATGGCTAACCTTTTCAGCTTGGTGTGTCGAAAATCGGGAAAAAGTGTAGCCTTCCTCGGGTCGTGTGTCACTTCAAGAAATATCAATAATTTGGTTTATGACGGACTGGGCTGGGGTGATCACACAGGGCTGTGAAACTCGTCTTCCTGGTCTCAGGGCTGCAGGTGCAGGATGTGGGGATCGGAAGGCCACCTTACAGGGCTGTGAACCTCATGGATCTCCTTTCCTCCTATAGCGTTCCTGAGGTAATGAAACTGACAAACCTCAGTTTATGGCGGTTAAAACTGGTTCTCTGCTGCAAAGATCTTGCGGCAGCGGTGACACCACGCCCCCACGCAACAAGCAGGGAGCAGGGATTGGAGCAGAGCACAGGCAGCCTCTAAATGTGCAGGTTTTCCCCACACCAACAGGCGTGTCAGTCAAAGTGCCTCGGCGTGTCATGAGTGACACGCGTGTCATAGATTAGCCATCACTGAGTTAGGATAATCCTAATGAGATACAACCGGTCCTTGGAGTTTCTGGCCTTCTCGGCATCCTCCAGGTCACCTGATTGTGACCTGGGCTCTTGGCAACCAGTTTGCATTCATGATTGATTGCAGCGTCCTGCGATCGTATGATCACCGTTTGCAATCTTCTTCGCCAACTTCCTCGGAAGGTCACTGGGCAAACCGACAGGGAAGGTCGAAAGTTGCTGGGACAGGTCTCTTCTCACTCACATCCCCTCACGGCACATTCCTGTGCTGCCCCCCCTCCTGCCCCAACTATGCCTATCCTGCCCTCTTCAAACCCTGTCACCCTGCTCCCACTCGGCAGCCCTTCTTGCTGGCTTGAGACTTGCCATATCCTGCCACCTTCCCCGCTGACTTTGGTTGTGGGATGCTGGTAGGCAATTGCTGTCCTTTGGCCTTTTCAGTTGTCAGCAGAAAGGGAGTGGGGGACAGCAGTGCATTCCTTAAATGCCTCAGATAATCGCCTTGGCAGCCCAAAGCCGTCAGCGCGCAAGAATATTACTGGAGAGCATGATTGATGACTCTTGGCTATGGATGTGTCCCATTGGAGAATATACATCCAGGGAGTGGGAGGAAGACTAGGGTCAAGGGGGAAATGAATGATGTAATTTAGTGTCGGCTGCACCCAGCTAACGCCAACATGGCCACTCCTAATTTTAATTTTTTTTTTTACTCTGAGCAGGCATGATATTCCCCTCTGAAAAAAAAATCAGGGCCGGCCAAAAGAGATCCCCCCACCGCGCGCCAAGAAATCGCTGCCCAGCTCCCTTTTCCTGCCGCTCAGCGGCCTCCACTCGCACCGCCCGCTCGGGCTCCGCTCGCACCGCCCGCCCACCCGGGCTCCGCTCAGGTATCCGGCTGGGGCTGTCAGGAGTTGCTACCGCCGGCGCGGCTCCGCGCGGCTCCAGTCCCGCGTTGCCTCGGGAAGGGAAAGGCAAAACCAGGAGCCGCTGCTGCCGTTGCAAAGCGCCGCCGCGGCTCTTCCTTTTTGCCTTTCCCTTCCTGAGGCAACGCGGGACTGGAGCCACGCAGAGCCGCGCCAGCGGTAGCAACTCCTGACTCGGGGCCTCCGAGGGAAGGGGAAGGAGGAGAAAAAGGGGGGGGGCGATTCCCAAAAAAATCGGAATTCTGATTTTAATCGGAAGAATATCATGTCTGTCTGAGAGATGCGGCTAGAGACTTATGATTTGAATGGGGGTGGATTAGTTGGAGTCCTGACAATTGCCTTTAATAACAATTATGGGATTCAATTAGCTTTGGCAACCAGAATTGCAGAGACGGACTCTCTGACGGATACATGCACAACTGTGATAGTGTCTGAAAAGTTCACACCGTTTGTACCGCTATCTGAAGCCCTTGAGATCAATGAGGCGGAATGGGACAACTCGCCATGGCCAACTTGCCAAGGTCAACTTCCCACATCCACCTTCTAAACTCACCATGGCCGACTCACTACACGATAATTCCGCTATGGGACAAGACGATGATTCAATGAAATTATTTAAAATGATTTTAAAAATATTTTTATTTCTGTCATTCACATTTCATTTTTGTCCCTTCTTTGCAGGGGTGGGATTCCACCAAATTCGGACTGGTTCGGGTGAATAGGATGTTAAATCTGCACCTGGTTCGCCAAACCGGTATTTGAACCAACCAGCCCCCAACCAGGAGTCTCCACGCGGCCCATTTTTTGATACAGGTAAGTAAGTGCAGGGTCTGCGCGGAGGCTCTGAGAGGGAGAAAAATAGCCCTACTGGAAGTCCAGAAACGGGCCTGTTTCCGGCTTCCACAGGGCCTCCAGAACCCAAGGGAGGCCGTTTTCGCCCTCCCAGATGCCTGAGGGAAGCCTCCGGACTCTGGGGAAGGTGAAAAATGGCCCTCCCGGAAGTACCGGTAGGCCACGTCCACCATGGCCAGGCCCACCCAGCAACTGGGAAGCAAAACGGTTGCCGAGATTTTTGAATCCCATCCCTGCTTCTTTGGCATCCTTTCTTTTAACGATTCTATTCCACTATTTCTTCTCTATTAGCGTTAACGCTTGTCCCACGGTGAGTTTTCCCACAGCAAGTTGAACCCTAATGAGACGGCCCTCCTGGCCTAAAAACTGTCCATTTAGCCCCTCCCAAATGTTGCTTTTGTTTTGCACTACAAAGCTGCGCCTTAATACATAGGTAGTCCATGACTTAAAAATCTCTCACTTTGTGACGGTTCGGTTACAACGGCACTGGAAAAAAATAAACCCATGACCGTTTTTCACGCTCACAACTATTGCAGCATCCCTGTGGTCACGTCATCATAATTCAGACTCTTGACCACTCGTTCATATTCATGATGGTTGTCAGAGCCACCAACTCACAATCATCATGAACATGATGGGGTCGTGAATGAATGAATGACTGGCCAAGTGTGATTAGACACACAAGGAATTTGTCGTGGTGTTTTGACCCAGGCTTCGTCAAACATAATTATTCACAAACTTGTTTTAAAAGCGAAACTTATTTTATTGCAACGCTGGGAACTGCTTTCATTCCCAGCCAGAACTAATCTTAAACAGTTCCCCAAGATAAGCACACACCTTTCACTGCTGTGGAATGCTGCCAAAAACAGAAGTATCCAATTAATTATAAAAGAAACCAACTGAAGTACCAGAAAAAACAACAACCAGAGTACACAGAGCTTCGGAATCTACCAAACTACTTTGCTTCCTGCAAAGATTTCGTCATTGAGGTCTGACTTTTATCCCTTATGGGAGGGGCAATCACCTCCCAGCCTTACTCCCGAGTTGCCCTTTTGTTTCAGCTGCTCTCGCCTTCTAGCAGCTCTGCGCATACGCGCACTGGGAACAGGCTCCCCTGGGTCCTCTGCTTCGCTGCTGCCAGACTCCAAAGGCTCCAAAGGCAGCACCCCGCTCTCAGATGGTCCTGGCCCCATCTCTGCATTGGACGCAGGACCCTCGTCTGAGTCCTCTCCAGACTCCCTGACTAGTCCCCTTTCTTTCCCACTGTCCACTTCCACTGCCAGATGCCCCGGCTGCCGGCGAACCACAACACTTGGTGCATGTGCTCTCAGTGTACATAAAAAGAAAAGGTATATATGTCAAGAATCATAAGGTAGAACACTTAATGATAGTCATAGGATACAAATAAGCAAGCAAATCATGTTATCACCGTTTGCCTTCTTCCAACAAGCAAAGTCAACAGAGAAGCCAGATTTTACTTAACCACCCTGTTAATAACTTGACAACTGCCGCGATTCACAACTAGGGGAAGAAAAGGTGTAAAATGGGACAAAACTCACTCAATAACTGTCTTGTTCGCAACCGAAATTTTGGGCTCAGTAGTAGTCTTAAGTCGAGGACTATCTGTTCTTATTTTATCAAAAAAAATAATTAAAAAAACCACACCCATCTCCCTCACATTCTGGTGATGTTTTGTAGGGAATGAAATTCAACTAATCCAAAATGCTTCACCCTCACTCTCTTGCTATATTACAAATGCAGCTAATTTTCAAGGGAAGAATTGTGGGCGCGTCTAAGCAACCTAATCCACGTCCCGTAACGCAAAAAAAAGGCTGGAGTTGTCATCTTTAAACCGTACCTCGTATGACTCTGATTTGACCTCCTGCTGGCTCCTCAGGAACTCCTCCACCAGAGCCACGGCCTGGGAACAGGTGTCTGCTCCTCCTGCTCGGATCCAGCTCTGGAGGTCCGATGGGAGGCTGGCCAGGAACTGCTCCAGGATCACCAGCTCCAGAATCTGCTCCTTGGTGCGTCTCTCCGGCCTCAGCCACTGGAGACAAAGCTCCTGGAGTTGGCTGTGGATCCTCCGGGGGTCTCCCACCTCCTGGCAGTAGAACTGCCGGAAATGTTGGCGTTGCCTCTCCATTTTCAGGGCTTCCCTTCGCAAGATGGCGGCCTTCACCTTCCCATAGTCGTCCCGATCTCTGGCTTCCAGACTTCGGAAGGCCTCTTCGGCTTCTCCACTCAGCGCTGACAGAAGATGGGCCACCCATTGCTCTGAGGGCCACTGGCAGGCTTGGGCCACCTGCTCAAAGGACGCTAGAAAGGCCTTGGTGTCTTCCCAAGGTGAAGCCTCTGAAAAACCTGGGTTGCTTCCTCCTTTGTAGGCAGGTTGCAGGGTCTTGAGGAACTCCTGCCACTGGGCTTCCCAGCGTTCTTCCATCCCGCGGAACGGCTCTTCTTTACTTTTTTGTGACGCTCCCCATCCTGGTTGCTCAGGCTGGATTTCACAGGGGAGTTTTCCTAGATTTGTTTCTTCTAATTTTGGTTCCGAAATATACAAGGGCCGAACTGGATTGGTGGGATTTTCTGGCCCTCCTTTCCACTGGGGACCTGCACGTTTTCCCTCCTTCATTGCTTTCTCGGCCGCCTCTTTGCTCTTGGATCTAGAATTTTCAAAGATCAGATTTAGCAGACCAAACTTAAGGAACCTAATATACTTCGAAATGCGTTATAAAGAAGCCGATACAGGTAGCCCATGAGTTATGACCACGACTGAGCCCAAAACACTAAGCAAGACATTTCCTAAGTGAGTCTTGCCCCATTTTTATGACTTTTCTTACCGCAGTTTTTAAGTTAGTAACATGGTTGTTACTGAACCGTGAATGAAATAAGCAAGTAAAGGATTCTGGCTCCTTCAGCTTTCACAATTTGGAACATGGCTTTTATACCAGGGTGACTTAAAGCCATTTCACTTATGGGCTGGGGCTGAGATAATCAACATAACATGTAGCTGTGTGAAAAAGTCCTGCACGCTTTATGGTTTTACGGTTTATGACTTTTTTGGGGGGGATAGGTCATTGATTTTATGATATTTTATGCTAACTGCTATGCAAATATTGTTATATTTAAATAAATGCTGATGGTTTTTAAGTGAAAAGCATAAGCTTTTTGCAATTTGGTGCTGTTTGGATGGGGATTGTGAATTTTCTTGCATTCTTACAATGCATGCTTACAATGACTATGAAAACAGATTAACTGATGCATACCCAGTGCCATACGTATTGCAATGTGGTGATAAGCAATAAGGGTTGGCCAATTTCATATTAGTAACCATGTTTGGCTACCTAAACGGTCATTTTCAGGGCCATAAACAATAAAAAATGTTAACAAAACACTAGCATCAGCCTTAGTAATTGCAACACGTATGTCACTGGATATGCATCGGTTAATCTGTTTTCACAGTCATTGTAAGCATGCAAGAAAATTCACCATCCCCATCCAGACAGCACCAAATTGCAAAAAGCTTATGCTTTTCACTTAAAAGCCACCAGTATTTATTTAAAAATAACAATATTCGCATAGCAGTTAGCATAAAATATCATAAGATCAATGACCTATCCAAAAAAAACCGTTACAAACCGTAAAGCATGAAGGACTTTAACAGCCCCTTTCTAATTATGCAGAAAGTCTCCAGACTTGTTCAGAAGAAGTCTTCTTCTCTACCATGGACCTTTCTGAAGGGTGGACGTGATTTCCACCCATTCTTGACTGAGCAAGTATCTATACGGTAAATTCCCCACCTCTGGATTAGATGAGCCCTATGGCTCAACTACAACGGAGGCCACAATTACTGCTAAGTAAGACATTTATGAAGTGACCTTGCCCCATTTTACTACCTGTCTCACCACCGTTCTTAAGCGAATCACCAGTTATTAAATCAGTC